CTCTCTCTCGCTCTCTTCTCTGGAAGCAGACACGAAACGGCACTTGAAAGCACTGGTACCGATGCTGTTCAGGTGACAGGTTGCATTTGCGTCACCTGCGATGCCACTTGCGAAAGAGGCGCCGTTTAGATGGCAGGTGTTGCTGTCGATATAATTTTGCTCAAACATCGCAAACAACATCAGCACCAGCAACCAGTCGAAGAGTCGAATCCTCATCATTCTTCATCATTCCACCTTCGACTGAAAATGCCAGAAAACGGTGAATCGAGAGGAGGAGTTGGCGATGCTCCAAACGAAGACGATGACATTGATCCTATTGACAGTGGAGGCTCAAGAGGAGCTCCTAGTCAGCGAGGCGGCTTCCGGAACATCGTCCGACGCATTCAGCTGGCCGCCGAGTTCAACCGACTGTCAAAGGCTAATCGTGAAAAGGATGATTGCTTCGAAGAGGATGACTTAAAACGGCGCAAGTCTCGACTAGCCCATCGTCGCATCAGCGGTCAGTCGTCCCTCGATCGAAGCTCTTGTTTGAGCTTTTCTCAAGGCAGTAACAAGCTGCTCGGTGAAACCTCCTCTGAGAAGCATTTTACTGAGGGCGAAATAAAGTTTCCCAATGACGACAGCTTCCACGATCAGGCAAAGCCTTTTGTGGTTATCAAGGCGAACATTCTCAAAACAGGCATTGCTCGCGTTTTCAAGGACTCCTGGCAGCTGGACGTGCCGAAGATCATCACCTACGTCATCACCAGCAAGTCTCAGAAGTGCCAGTGGAGTAACAAGAAGCAGATTGAGCACTTCCAAGCGGGAATCACCAAGGTTTGTTATTTTTAGGAAAATAAAAAATTTAACTGTGTTTTTGAAATTACAGGCAGCCATGTCTACGAACATGTGGATCTTCACCAATGGACTGAATTGCGGACCAACAAACTACATCTGCTCGGCAATTGAAAATGAACTCAAGAAGAACCGATTGAAGCGAACGCTGGATAACTACCCTCTTCTCTTTGGATTCGCCTTTGCCGATGATTTGATTTACGGTGACAAGTTCAATGAAACGAGCAATTTTCAGACCACCCTTTGCCTGAACAACCTGGGCTATCCTAGAGAGGGGAAATTTGAGCTGAATCCGCATCACTCACACTTCATTATTGCTAAAAATGACAACAGCAGTAGTAGTAGCAGTAGCAGCAGCATCGATGATCAGAACAGCATCACACTGAAGGCCATTCAGATGCTCGTCAAGAGTGAGGAGTTTTATCAGATTTGCAACAAAGGTACGCCCCCGTATTAGTAGTAACCTTTCTCAATTTGTTAAGCAATTCTCTCTTATTCAGATTCAAAGTGCTCCGTCGAAGTGCCCCTCGTGTCGCTGCTGATCGAAGGTGGGCCCGAGTCGATGGCCTCGGTGCTGACGCTGATCAAGCAGGGCTCAGTGGTGGTGGTGCTGCGAGGCAGCGGCGGCCTCTCCGACCTCATCGCCTCCACCTACTACCGCCTGTGGGAGGCATTCTCTGAGGACGCCTACGCCTGGGACGCCGACTTTGTGGAGGAGCACGTCAGGCCGGTGCTGGGTGCCAAGATAGCCTCTCGTTTCGGTGAGCTGAAAAACAACCACCTCGCCTGCGGAGTGCTCCGTGACCAGATCATCGAGTGCATCCGACTGGCGCGCACCGACGGCGGTCGTCAGTACCTGTCCATTCTGGACATGCACAAGCCGCTGAATCTGTGCAATCTGAGCAACCTCAGCGAGCACCTGCTCAATGCACTGCTGCAGTCCAGGCGGACGGTGGCCACCTCCTCCTCCTCCTCCTCCAACTCCACCATTGATCAGATTCTCAGAGGTAGTGTACTTGTTTTAATGGCTAGCCCTTTTAATTTTTCTGTTGTCATATGACAATTTCAGATTTTGACCTAATCCTCGACTGGAACTGCGCCCAGGTGGCAAAGAATCTGCTCTTCTCCCAGCAGAACAATACACTGAACATTACCGAGCAATTCAGGAGCAAGTTCACCGCCATACTGACGCGTGAAAATCGGGAACCCTTTGTCGATCTGTTTCTGGCGCAGGGCTTTCAGCTGCACCGCTATCTGACGCCCTCACGACTAAGTCGACTCTTCAGGCACATCCACGATGACGACTTTTTTCATACGGTGTGCTGGGAGTCTGCTTTTGGAAAGTCTTCCACGGCCAAGCAGGGCAAGTACTTCATTGAGGGTGACCTGAACTGGCTGATTATGTTTTGCACTGGCCTGGAGAGTTATGTGAAGACTGGTAAGTGTTTGTTTTGTGTTTTTTTTGAAAATTAATGAAATAATTTGTTTTGCAGTGGATCTAAATGAGAGCTCACACGGCAACTACAAACACGTCGACTCGCTGGCTGCCGAGCGGAAGGCGCTGACGCTGATCACCATTTGGGCAGTGATGGCGAATCGCTACGAGCTGGTGAAGGTACTGTGGAAGTACTCCGACCACCCGGTGCACACTGCTCTGCTCATTTCGATGTTCTACGAGCGATTGTCCTACAACGTCATGGACATCAACACCAAGGCGGAGATGAAGGTGAAGGCGGTGGAGTTTGCGGCGCACGCCAACGGCGTTCTCGACAAGTGCTACAACGAGGACATCAGCCAGGCGTACAATGTGCTGAGAGAGTCTACCGTCGACTACGACTACATGACGGCGGTGGACCTTGCCGCCAGTGCTCAGCTGAAGCAGTTCATGGCCCATCCCTGCTGTCAGAAGTGGCTGACCACCACCTTCCAGGGGCACATTCGACTACGCGAGATCACCTGGGGCTTNGCGCTTCAAGGAAGATGAAGAGGAAAATGGCGGCGACGGCGGTGGCGAAGACGGTGGCGAGGGACTAGAGGAGGAATTCGACATATACGATTCAATCTACGGCAGCAAGAAGAACATTAAGGAGGTGCAGAGTGGTGGTCGGCAGGGGAGCACCAGCGTTGCCAGTACTAATCCCTTTCGCACGAGCGAAGTGGCCACCATTTCGGGTTTCGTGAACACCGCCTACGCAGAGGAGGAGGACACTGAGCTGCCGAAGGCACACCAGCAGAAGAAGAAGGCATCACACTTTGCCACTAGCAGTAGTAATAAACGAAGGGAGGTCTTTGTCAAGCGGCAGCCGCCTCTGTGGAGGATGGTCCAGATGATGTGGTGCTCACCGATTACAAAGTT